ACTGTAATGGTCTTACAAAGCTTTGCTTTCTGCTGGAAAAAAACTGACTCTGTTACCTGCTTTTGATTTATCAAGTGACTCCACATTTGTCCCGCTGAATGCGACAGTGCTGAGTCCTGGGTAACAAAAATGATGGGCGAGGAGAAAGGAGAAGAGAGAAGTCAGATCCCAGTTCCAGATCCTGCCAACCAAGGCTCCACCTCTGACCCACCACTGGGTTTTCTCCTGGTTTCCCCAGCCCGGTGAAACCAGTATCTGTATTCTGTGAATATCAGCACTTGCTCAGATTAAAAAGCAGGCTCGCCCTTCCCTGGCAGTGTCCTGAACATGTCTGTGTTTGCAGGGCGCTAATAGTTAATATTCTAATTATTAATTCATAGCAGTAACTGCATGCCGTGCTCCTGAGGCACAAGGCACACCCAGGCTGGTGAGTTCTGGGGGAGGCTGAGGGAACCCACAGAGCTCAGATCTGGCAGGTGGGTGACATGTGGCACACGGAGGGGACACAGGGCTGGTTGTGCTTGGATGAGTGTGGGGCTTTAGGAGGACACTGCCCAGGTGAACAGATGGACACCCCCCTCCTTCAAAATCTGCTTCTATATCCGGGGCAGCTGGGATATTTATAGCTCCAAAGCACTTGTACTCCCAGTCATTAAAGAGTGTGGGATTTTTAAATTTAGAAACCTGTCATATAAATACAAATAATGACTTCTGCAGAGGCTGAATCTTATAATCAGCAAATGCAGGAAGAAAGTATATAATTTCATTTATATTTGTGGCTGATTAAGAGATTTAAGATGTTGGTTTAAAAAAATTAATAATCTATCACTTTGACATGACCTTGTGGGAAAAAGTCATATAAAACACGAATGGATAAAAGTTTCCTTCAGATACATAATTAGATGATTTTTTTTTGGCCAGACTTTACATACTGGTTTAAAAGAAACATAATTTTCTTTTTTTTCAGGTCCACAGGTATGACAGGAAGATTTCATCAGATATTTCTTCAGTGCATTAAGGTTATGAATTTGAAAGGCAATAAAATATCCCCATATCCACGAATCTTCTGAAACCTTCTAGAGATGTTATTTTAATAGGAATATTTCTTCCTTTTTTAAAGTTTAGGTTGCATGTGTCTTTCAAAGGAATATTAAGCTGGTATAGAACAATCCTAAGAAAATTAGTTATGACGTTTTTAACTAGAACCTCACAAGCTTCATTATATTAAAATGAATGCTCACAATTTCCAACACCCTTTTCTCATATTTAAACTTTTCTTACAGCTGCAAAAATCAACAGAGACTTAAAGAAAGGGATTCTGAAGAATTGAAGTTTAATCCTTTATTTCTCAGATCTGTATCTGTCAGCCTTATAACTGGGTATACTTTGTCCTTAGAGATAATAGATAATGTATGTGGCAACTTCTAGTTACCAATAGTATCTTCCCAACTATTATTCCTTAATGTGACATAAGACTGGCTTTCAGAGATGCTGCAAAAGCAAATGTTGTAGGTATTTGTTTCTTAACATGAAGATACCAATCCCAGGCCCGTTGCACTCATCTTACAAAGCTTATCTGCTGAACAAGTATTGTAGGTGCAGAAAACCTTCTAAAGTCTTGGGTTATTGTGATTCAGAATCCTTGTGACTATCCTGAGTTGGAAGGGACCCATCTCCCGTGTATTTAGTGTACAATAAAGACGAGTAGATTAACTCACTATTTTATATTTCACAAATGGGATTAATAAATGCAATGAACTCCACACCTGCAGTGGATAAATGACCCCTGCAGCCGGATGGTGTCAGGCTGAGTTCTGCTGCCCACTGTTTTGCCTCCACTAGATGTCAGGCTGCTGACAGTGCTGGAGGGGTTTAATCCCTATGGCACAGTGAGGAGCACGGTCAGGATCACAGCTACAATTCTCCACTTCCAATCACTCAAAATAGGAGATACTCTGAGTCACTATATTGATTTTTCTTGTCCTTCACTCTTTTGAGTCTTCTCCCTTCAGCAAATTTCTCAGCATTGACAAGGTCCAGCACTGCTGATAAATGGGAGCAGGGCTGAGTAACAGGGGGTTCCCTGGGGGCATTTCCCTTTGCTCATCCGTTCCAAAGGGGCCAGGCTTGACACATGTGTTAGGGAAGAATACATAACTCCTGAGTTCCTCGAAAATATTCAAGCACATGCCTCTTTACTCCCCGACAGCAACGAGGTGGTGAGGAGCTTTTTGGCTGTTTCTGCTTCTTAGTGGGGATATTTATTTTTATTTTCTGGGAAGAACATATAATTTCAGAAAGTAATCCCATGTCTCAAATGGTATCTTTATAAGACCTCTCAAGGAAGCAGGCTGGACAGCAGGTGGATTAAATTTCCCAAGCAACAGAAGGATGATAATATTTTCAGGCCTGTATGAAGGATTTTGGGGGATTTTGCTCACAGTGGCTGTTGCAGCCCGAAAAAGTAAGTGTCCCATTTGCAGCTCTGCAAATGTGATGCAGTTGCAGCAGGTTTTATGTGCATGGGAGGAGTGACTCCACACTGTGTGGAAAAGCAGTGAGTCTGCTCCAACTCCCTGTCCTGTGGCCCAGAGTGGCTCCAGGGATGCACAAAAGCCTGGTGAGCTCAGCAGAGAGCACAGGGGTGATTTATGCACACTAACAAGTTTTTGGATGCTCAGTTGTCTGGGCTGCTGAAGTCCAGAAGAAATTGTTGCTGCTATCAAAACACAGGAAAAGCCAAGGTTTTCACGTGAGAGATGAGATCTGATTGTATTTGTATGGGAAATCCATATTGTATGGTACAACTCTCAAATTTAGCACTATTCGTGGGAGTCTAGGACTTAAAATAACACTGGATAGTGAAAAGGGTCACAAGAGGAGACTAGTAAAGGCACTCTTTCACCTTCACAGTCCTCCTTGAGACTCCTTCTTTCCCACAAAACCTTAAACAAGATGCTTGGAACTTATTTCAGCTGTATAGGCAGCATGATCCCTTTCCATAAGTCCACTGCTTACTGCCACCTCTCCACATCCATCTTTTTTCTTTAGTCTCATGATTAGTGTCCAGAGCAGCCTGCCCTGTGGAGAGGGATGTCCTTCCTGCCTTTGTGTATGGTCTGGAGCATCCCTGTCCTTTCCTACAGAAACTAAACTCTGGTAACCAAATTTTTTTCCTGTAGCAGTGTTAAACCATATATTAGTGTCAATCACAGAATCATGGAATGGTTTGGATTCCACGCCCTTGCCTTGGGCAGGGACACCTTCCACTGGACTGGGTTGCATCCATAACAAAGGGGTGACACATACACCCCAGCATCAAATGCAATGTGGCCCTCAGACACACGTGTAACATCTCATCTGAAGTCAAATGATCTCTGGATTTGGCTTTGGACTGCAACAGCTATTCTTGTGTTTAAGACACTCTGCAGTGTCCATTTCATATGGATTCTTCACTGCTATTGAAAACATCCAAAAACCTTAAAAGCTGACTTGTGTTCCACCTCTGGCAGCTAAAAAGATGGTGCTACCTCCTCTCAGATCTGCTCTTCCTCATCTTAATCCAGGTGTTCAGAATTCCTGACAAAGGGCTGTGTTTTGCCCCGTGTAAGCACGAAGCTGAGGACTGGCATGAGGGTAGGGGCTCACTGCTCAACAACAAAGGCTAATCAAGAGCATTTCTCCAAGTGCATCAACCAATTTCATTGGATCATATTAAATACTATAACAAAAATAAAAGCATTTGGTCTACAGCTTCAAAGCTCTGTGGCCCATGTCATACTTAATTTAACACAGACCTCAAATAAGAGTCAGAAAACTAATATTTGTGCCGGAAATAGAACATGCAGTGGGATTTGCTTTTTACTGTAAAGTAACTTTTTCCAGAGCCCAAATTTTATCTTTTCCTGGAAGTTGCCCTCAGTAAATGCCAATATATACATTGTGATGACGACTGGCCACCTCTTAGCATTTGAGATGGGAGGGATTCCCAGCCTTTGACCTGCTTTGCTTCCTGCAGAGCCAGCATTTGCTCTGTCTTCCAGAGTCTCCGCTGGGATGGATCTTTCTCTGTGTCCAGATTCAAACACCACTGCCTCAAGAGTCTGGTCTATCTCTTAATTTGATGGAGAATTCTTAAAACTAAATTCTGCATAAAATTATTTTCAGATGGAATAATTTGCTCTAGATGGATTTTTTTTTTCCCTTCTTGCAGTCCTCTAAGTCTCTGCTAAGAAAAATAAATGTTATTTAGACTGTAAGCTCTTTGGGGGAAAAGCTGGACTTTTAAGTGATGTGCCTGTGTTCACAGAACCGGACAGATCAGATGAGCTCGAGGTACAACACCTATGACTAATAGTGGTTGGCCACAATTAAGTCTTTTTATCCCTGGGAAACTTGATTTCCCCCCCTCCAACAGGTATATAAGTTAACTTTTCATACTTAGGTTTAGAACAAGCTGAACTGTACTTTCGGAAAACAAATATTACACATTGAAAATGTAACTTTTTTGTTGTTGCTGCTGGTTAATATTTTATCGCTTAAAAAAAAATTAATGTCAAAGAATCACAAGAATGGACTGGGTGGGAAGAGAGCTTAATGATCACAGAATTACAGAACAGGCTGAGTTGGAAGGGAGCCCGCAGCAGCATCGAGTCCAGCTCCTCGTTTAGTCCCACCCATGGGCGGGGACACCTTTAGACACTAAGCGAGATGTAATTATTCGCGTAATTTATGTATTTTTAGATGTGCCTCGGTGTTGGCTCAGAGGCCATTTTGCCGCCGGAACCGCGCGCGTCACTCCCCACACGGCGGGGCGGCACCGCCGCCATCGCCCCTCACGGCGGGGGCGGAGCGGGGACATGGACGGGCGGAGCGGGGCTGGAGCAGGCCGGGCCATGGCGGGGGCGGAGCGGGGCTGGAGCAGGCCGGGCCCAGCCATGGAGGGGCGGAGCGGGGCCGGAGCGAGTCGGGCCATGCGGGGGGCGGAGCGGGGCCGGGCCTTGGCGATGTCGGCGGCCGGAGCTGGGTCGCTGTGCTCGGCCCGCCTGGAGAGCGTGCGGGCGCTGTCGGGGCTGCTCCGGGAGGCGCGGCGCAGGTAGCGGGGGGGGCGCGGCGGTGCCGGCAGAGGGTCCCCGGCCCGGCCCGGCCCGGCCCTGCGCGCAGCCGGGAAAGGGGCGCTCGGTGCCCGCAGGACCCTCCGCCGCGGAACACCCGCACACCCCCGGCTGCCCCCGGGCCGGGCCGAGCGCTCGCACGGCCTGCTCCGACCGCCGGCTCCTGCCTTGGGCAGGCGGCGCCGAAACGGGTCAGCTCCGTGCGATAGCCCAGCACGTGGTGTAGGCCGATAGGAAGGAAACTGCAGCGGACTGAGCGTTTTGCCATTTAAGAACAGTGCCCGTGTCTAAGAACTCCCAGCTCGTGGTTCTGCTCGATGGAGGAAACACTCCTGTGTGTTTGGGACGCCCGGGGGCTCCTCTGCCAGAAACACGTGTCCCGGGATGCATTTCCCACGGGGACGCGGTGCCCCAGCCACGGAGCAGTGTTTTGGCATGTCAGGAAGCGGCAGGAGCTGCACCACTTCTTGCGAGTTGGAAGGTTCAAGCTCCACGAATATATTTTCTTGTGTCCTGAAACAAAACCAGATTCCAAACCTTCTTTCTGGTTGTTTAAGCTTCACTGTTTTCTTTATGGCTGAAGGCCAGCTCTGGTCTTTGTTGTGCCACTTTGGTATTTCCCCCCCAGTGTTGCACCACTGTAAAATGTAGTTACTCCCCCTGCCCCTCCATAACCCTCTGTGATGCTGTGGCGGGTTTTTTAATGTTTTAATGTAGATGGAGAATGTGTGAGTGTGTTGCTCTTGATCAATTCTGAGGCTGCAGGATGAAATACATACTCCCTGGGGATCTGAAATCTAATGTTGTAGTAATTTAGGGATATTAACGTACCCTGTTTTGTGTTTTCCAGCACAAGTGCTCTCCCTTCTGTGTAAGTTTCCTCCACACCCTTACAGCCCTCAATGTTGGATGCACTGTGTTGTCAGTAACATGTAGACAAACATAGCAGTGTCACTGTTGGAGCAAAAAGTCTTACAAGGGACTTAGAAAATGTGAACAGTGAGTAAAGACTAAGAGAATGAGTTTTGTTCAGCCTAGGAAAGCAAACACAACAGCAGCAGAGGTGGGAGATGATGTCTCCAGACATGTCAAAGGGATTATGGATAGGATGTGTATGGACATGGTGGAGTTGGCAGTGTTTGGTTAATGTTGGACTCGATCTTAAGGGTCTTTTCCAACCTCAGTGATTCTGTGGTTTGATTTATGGATGTGATCACTTATGAAAGAGGAGGTAGAATTATTTGAGTGTGCAGCAGAACACAGGTAGTACTGTATCATATACAAGTGTTTGATCAAGAAGGTTTTAAATTCTCCTTTAGGGAGAGTTTTCTGTATGAGCATTTTATTTAATGCTACTTTACATTTGATCTCATTTCACTTTCTTCTGTTTGATCTTGAGTACACAACAAGTCTCTTTAAGGTTCAGGGAGGCTGCATCTGGATTTCCTTTGCTGACCCTGGTCAGAAGGATTGGATGAGCAAATTGATTGAACTTCCTCTAGCAATGCCATGAACTCAGGTGTGGCTCCTCTTCACCAGCAGGTGATATCAGAGTTAGCAATGTGTGTCAGGTGTTTAACTCATCTCCATTGAAGCTGATGATCCTTGTGGGTGCCTTCCAACTCAGGATGTTCATGATTCTGTGATCTAATGTGGGACACCTGAACTGTGTTAATTAATTAGAGCATCTTCTCCTAAAGCAACATGCAGTGTCATGTATAAACAAGGCAGCCCTGTGCACTGGGGAGACTTTTTCCTTTTCCATAAGATTCCAAAGAGCTGTTGAAAAGTCATGGGGAATACTAAGGGAACAGAACTCTCCTACAGCCCCTTTTCTGAAAGGGCTGGTGGGAGGATTGTGTGATTTGTTTTGCTCTTCCTACTTGAAAGACTTTGTATACTGTGCATAGTTAAAGATTGTTGCAGAAACATCTTCGGGTTTACAGCGGGAAGTGTCATTGCCGGAGGCTTTTTGGCAGCAGGGCATTTTTCCTCTTTTTCATCGCAAATTTATTTATTTCAGAGAAGTGGCAGAAGAAAGTGTATTTCGAGACCTCCTGGAAATCCTGACCAGTGCCTCCCGTGCCATTGAGCAGAGCTGCAAGGACTCCTGTGGGCTGGCAGATGTGGACACCTGCCTGCTGCTCGTAGCCGAGTGCTTCAGGTGCCTGAGGAATGCCTGTGTGCAGTGTGCCAGGAACCAGCACCTCCTGAGGTACAGTCAGCAGCTCTTTTAGCCCACGAAAAGTTATCACCTTCTGATGTTTGTGTGCTTTCGTACAGAGATTATTGTTTTACAGTGCTGAGTTGGTTGATTTGTTAACGGGCAGTTTCTGATTGATACAGTCACTTGAAATCAAATATGCAAGAAACAAAAACAGCTGAGCTATTTGTAGGTCAGAGTTTGGGGCCCTGCTGAATAATGGAACAAGCATCTGGGTCCTTAACATGAGTTGATGATGCAAATGCTATAAGCCTGTTGGAAGCCTGACTGTATAAATACCCATTTTTTTCTCTTTCTTCAATTTTTTGGATAACATAATGAATGAGTAAATAGTCTTAATTATCAGTTAAAGAAGTAGTATGTCTTTTAAGGTACATTTAGATCTGTCTGGCCCTCATGGCAAAGGACAGCATGTAGAACTTATGCATATTAACCCTGATACATGCCCAGGCAAACTGATATTAATGGAGAAAAAGTCAATCTGGCTCCTTAAGTTATTTAGCCTCTCTTATTTTTGCCTGTGTCTCTTGCAGCATTGAAGGAATGCCTGGGACACAACAAGCTGTAGTTAGTGAAAACCTGGTAGTCTGGCTGCTGTTTTTTAAAAACCCAACAAAACAGCAACACTCTCCCTGCCCCAATCCTGCCCAAGAACCTCAAACCAAATGACCAAAAAAAAAAAAACCCCAAAGGCCTGTTACAAGTTTCTTGGATCACAAAGACTTACTGTGGAGTACAGTCTGCAAATTTGGCTTCTTGGGACTTGTCAAATTTGATTTATTGAACTAAATGTAATTTTGCCCTGGGACCAAGTCGTAGCTTCTGTGCAGGGGCAGAGTTTTGTTAATGCCACAAAAGTTGCAACTCAGACCATTCTGAGATGGCACCTATGATTTTCCTCCTCACTGGAGGAAGGATAAATGGTTACTTGACCTTCTCTGCATCCCTCTGAGAGTTGTGTATGGTTCCCTTGGAGCTGGCCCCCTTGGTTTTTGATGGTGTCACAAACTGCTTTGTTGGCATTGAAAATCCTCCAAGTTTATTACAAAGTAGTGTACGTGACTCTTTCCCTGGATGCTTTTAGACAAGTAAAGCTGTTCAAATTATAGGAATAATTTGCTGATTTTTAACACTTGATTAGAGGAATAGCAAAAAGAGAGTAAAGGGTACTTAGCTCTGAAGGTACTGTGTCCAGAATTGTTAGAATGCAGGCTGATGCTGTAAACCCCTTTGATTTGCTTCTGATGGCAATAATGTGGCTGCTGATAGGCAGTAAAGTAGGAGAAACTGGTTTTTATTTTGGAGATCCTGAAGAGGCTAAAGGTTTGCTGTTAACTTTGGTGAAAAGCCTTTTAATTTTATTCAAGTGTATTTCATATCGAGCAAATTATTATTTTTTTTCTCAATTTAATAATAGGAATTTGGGTCTCATCTCTACATCTGTCCATTTGATCAAACTGCTTCATGGAATGCAAGTCAAAGAAGAATTGTTATTGCCTGGTAAGGCTGGGGATTTTGTTAAATGTATAGCCTGCACTATATTTTTTTTGTGGGGGAGGTATAATGTCCCTTTACTGATGTGTTTGTTTGATAAAGGTTAATTGTTTCTTCAGTTGTAGTTAAAAATCAGGGGGGAGTCTCTCTTACATTGCTTGAAAAAAATCTTGGCCTCATGTCTAGTCCAGTTGTATTTTCCATGAACTGTTCCCTGTAGAGTGTTAAAGGAAAGATATGTTGAAACTCTAAAATGAGCCAGGATATCTGGATTGCAAAAAGGAAAAGCTCCTGCAGTACCTCTCTTCAAAACATGTTCTGCCGTTTTACTGTCTTTTTATTCCATGTGCAAACGTAGGGAAATGATTTTTTTTTTTTTTTGATGATACTTGAACTAATTTGTCTGATTCCAGGAAGCAGATTGTGGCTGTGACTTTTTAAAAATGATTTTTAAATTTTCTTTTGTGCACGGTGCTTGCTGGCCAGTCAGGATGATACCTGCCAGGAATTAGGTGCTGATTTGAGTAGTGTTCATGTTTCCTTAGTGGGTGAATTCTTTCTTTCTATGCAGTGAAGGGAAAATGTGACTCCAGAGCCCTTCCTCCCCAGTGGTTGTTATTGCTACTGATTTCTCCCAAACTCATTTCACTGGATTAAGGCATTTTCAGAGAGTGATGAGGAACATTTGGTTTGTCTCTCTACTTTCATTTCTTTTCATTCCCATTCCTTGGATGAGGTTTTCCCTGGGTTCCCGCTGCTGCTTTTGTACCATTTTGTGGAAGCAAGTGAAACAACTGTCCCAAGTACCTGCCCCTCAAACACCTTTGTGAAGCTGGGGGGGGGGCAGTGAGGTCCAGAACACTGGGCTTTCTTTTGCTGCTCAGTTTGGCTCAAAACAAAGCCTTCCAGGCACGTGAGGGTTTGTGCTTAAGCCAAGGTCACTCCTGCACCCATTGCTGGAATGGTGCTGCCAGGGAAGGAGCAGTGGTGCCAGCATGGCCCTTCAGTATGGGAGGGCCAGAACTATAAGCCCTGTGGGTGGCAAAAAGTCACTCCTGCCTCCTGATGGCACCCAGGAGTGACTTTCAAGCCATGTCACAGGGAGGACTGGGAACCTCTCTGTAGACCAGTGAGATAAAAGGAAAAGTTTTGGGAGCTGAAATGCTGCTTTTGTCCAGCCTGACGCTGTCCCTGCTGGGGCCTTGGACAGCAGAGGGTTCCCAAAGCTGCCCTGGGGAGGTGGGCTCAGAGGGGCTGCCCAGCAGCTGCAGGAGAGGGAGCAGGATGTGCCCCTTGTTGGGTACAGGCATGGCCTGAGGTTTCCCCCATAGTCTCATTGCTGCTGTCCCCTCCTTTGTCCCCTCCTTGCTGGACTGTCACACGTGTGTGCTGGTCTCTGCCTGGGGGGCTGAAGAACCCCCAGGGAATCTTACTGAGTAAAAAAAAGGAGGGATGGAACCCAGTCATTTGTTTATCTGCTTCAGGCTCCTTTTCCTAACTACAGGCTGGTGTACCATCTGTTTGTCACCATGAACACAAGGGTGGCATTGACCAGACAGTTTCTAACAGTATTTCAGTCGGAGTTGTTCTGGGACTGTTACTCAATGTAGCCATTCAGCAAACACGTTGGAGTTGGAACTAAAATTTGCTGTATTGACCCAGGACAGGTGGCTCATCTGATACTGTTGAGGAACCTCAGTGAAGAGCTTGCCTTATGTATTCCCTGTGTCTCAGCACAACAACACAAAAATTCTAGACAAGCAAGTGTTGCTAATTCCTTGCTGAGTGATCTGATGAACTTTGTTTTAAGTGGAAATCAAGCTGATGCCTGGAGCAGCAGCTCCTGCTGCAGGGGGTGCCTCGGAAGGGAACAGTTCAATTTGACTGTGGATTGTCAGTCGTGGTGTCAGAAGCAAAGCAAATCACTCAATTGGGCTTGGATAGCACTGCTGAAACAAAAGAAACCCATGAAATCAGTAAATGGTACTGGGTTTATTAACTGTAATTCTGCTTGGTGATTCCCCTCATATTTCATGTAGGGGATCAGGTCACGGGGCTAGAGTAGCATGTGTATTTTGTTCTAGCAGATAATTAGGTGTAAAGTGGAATATTTCAAGGTGTTCACTTGGATATGTGTCCTATTTCCTCCCTCAAATGGCTGCTTGGATTGGGTGATCCCTCTTGGTGCCTGTTTATATCCTTAGGTTTTTTTAAAGTTCCTTCCTGTTGCTTCCACAGCAACAGAATAAAAGGAGAAAGAGGCAATGCTGTGTTGCAGAGTGAACAGCACTAAATAGTGTTTCAGACCATGTTCCTGTGAAAAATTCCCAGAGCAAATCATTGTAGGCTGAGTAAATTTGAAGTTCCAGCATTATTGTATTTATGAAGATGAGATTGAAAATTCTTCCTGCAGACTAAAAAATTGGTTTAACCTGATCTGTGGTATGTTTGCACTCTTATCCACTGGTAAGTCTGAGTGGTGGGGTAATTTTTGTAGGACAGTTCAGTGTAGTACAATTTGAAATGGATAAAACCAGAAATGAAATAAAGTATATATTCTGTGGCCACTGCTGTGACAGTGTGGTGATTCTGAGGGAGGGGATGTGATCAAAGCAGCCAAAAAGCAGGTGTTGTGCAAAGTAGTGTGACTAAAAACTGTTGCTAATAGTTATTCAATAAAATCCAGAATCCTTTGCATCTTCTCTGCTAGGAGAAATACTTTAAAAATAGTCTATCTTAGGCCCAGGTGTTATATACATGGTTAATTGGGCTCCTCACTTCAGTATATTTACTGAAACAACTCTACAGTGAGTTTTCAGCATATATCTTTCTTTTTTTTTTTTTTAATTGTTACAAAAAAAAAATAAAAATCCTGTGTGCTTGTAATGTGCTTGTCCCAGCCAGCTGTGAACAAAGCTTTTGTTTTGAGTGCATGATAAGGCAGTGGGCCAGAAAACTTGAAGGTGAGTTGGAATGCCTGTCCTGAAATAGCTCTTTAAGGCTTCAGATAGGTTTAAAAATAAATAGTTAATTCTTACATATGGCATATAAGGGTTGTCCAATCCCACCTGCAAGCCAGCTGTCCCTGTAATAATATTCTCCTTTCCTTTCCATACTTACATTAAAAATCCCCCAGCATTTTTAGGCCTTTCCTGTGAGGTGTTGCTGCAGGTAGCTGTTTGTCCCCACTCTTTCTCCCAGCTTACTTCCCAGGTTAGTCTGAGTTGCATTCCACAGCCTCGTGTCTCTTCTCATAATTGCTTACAGTGCATAGCAGGAATCTGTCTGGAGCAATTTTTTACTACTTGGAGGAGGGACCCTGCTCTCAGGAGTTGCACAGTGAAGCCAACAGCTAGATGAGTGCAGAGAGTTCAGAGAATCATGGAATGATTAGGATTGGAAAAGCCCTCCCAGCCCACAGATCCCCCCTGTGCCCGATGCCCCCCTTGTCCCCCAGCCCAGAGCACTCAGTGCCATGGCCAGGCCTTCCTGGGACACCTCCAGGGATGGGCACTCCAAACCTCCCTGGGCAGCCTCTTCCAGTGCCTGACCACCCTTTCCAGGAGGAAATTCCTCCTGATGTCCAACCTGATCTCACCTGGCACAGCTGGAGGCTGTTTCCTCTCATCTTGTCCCTTGCTGCCTGGGAGCAAAGATACTCAATTTTTTACTTTAAGTTGTAGGGAAAAATTGAAGTCTCTGCAGAATATAGATTTAGTGGAATTTTCACAGTACCCTCACCACATCCCTTTTGTTTATTCTTTTAATTAAAAAAAGAAAAGTCTCATCATAGCAACCTTTTTTTTTTCCTGCTCTGGGTACAAAGGCAAAAAGCACTTGCCAGAGGAGCAGCTGATGAAGCTGCCAGATGAACTTTATCTGAACTTGAAGCAGACCCACATCTCTTAAGAGCTAAGAAGTAGTTCAGTATGTTTGGGATTGCAGCAGACATAGGAAATATCCTTGTCAGAAGCCCAAGTAGAAAATCTCCTTCACTTCATTGCATGTGTCTTGTGGGGTTAGGTTTGTTTCTTTTTTTCCTTTTTCCTATGGCAAATCCTAAGCTTTCCAGCAGAACTTTGGGAAGGTACATTGAGGTTTGTCAAGATGATGGATCTTTAAATTCTAGAGTGAGAGATCTGGATTTAGGATTCATCTCTGAAATCTAGGAAAAAAAAAAGAAAAGATAGTTGCAAGCAAAGGCATATGTGTTTTGCAGCATGCTGATGTTCTATAGGCATGTCCCATTTGATCCTCTCATTTATTCCCACTCCAGCTTGGATGCAAGGAGCTTTAATCTTTTTGTTTGTAAATAGATCTTCTCAAACCTTTCACCGCCTCAAAATACTGCCGATGCTGAAGAATGTGCCTTGAATTCCAACGTAATTGCTTAAAAACGATTCATCTGCCAAAATACTTTTCTTCCCTCTCCTATGAAAAGGCCCTGAGTGCCTGATAGCTGCCCTGCCTGAGACAATTTGTTGTGCAAGTTCTCTGAATGAGGTGATTGTCCTCTCTGAGCAGAACTGAGCTCTCAGTGTGTGCCTGGGAGGTGCTCAGAGCGTGGCTCCAGCATTCCAAACTTCCAGGCTCCTGGGGATGCAGAGCTTGTGTTAAATCGAGTAGCACAGGTGTTGGTGTTATTGTACTGTGCTGACTGTGGCCCTGAAGTTTTTGGGAGTTTTAACCAATCAGGGTAAGCTGCCTCAAAAATGTGTTAATGGGGGAATCCCAGAATCATTAAGGTTGGAAAAGCACTCCCAGGTTATCGAGTCTCCCCTGTGCTCGATGCCCACCTTGTCCCCCAGCCCAGAGCACTCAGTGCCATGGCCAGGCCTTCCTGGGACACCTCCAGGGGTGGGCACTCCAAACCTCCCTGGGCAGCCCCTTCCAGTGCCTCACCACCCTTTACAGGAGGAAATTCCTCCTGATGCCCAACCTGAGCCTCCCCTGGCACAGCTGGAGGCCGTTCCCTCTCCTCCTGTCCCTTGTTCCCTGGGAGCAGA